ATGTGATTTAAATATATAGTAATTTTAATATATAGTGATTTTAATATATAGTGATTTTAATATATATTAGTTTTAGTATAAGGTGGTTTAGAATATGATAGTATAAGATGATTTATAATATAATATAGTTTATCATGGTTTAATTTATTCCTGATCAAGTATATATCTGATTTGTATTTAATCTATATTAAACTAATCAAATCCTAAAAATATATTTATAAATAGCTCGTGAATAACAATTAAATAGCTCGTGAATAACAATTAAATAACAAGCATATAATAAGCTAATATAGCTTATAACTAGCTAATTACTAAATTATTCCTCTTTAATAATTTAATACTTTCTTTTACAAGATCACTATTTAATACCTTCTTTTATAAGAACAATTTTATACTTTACAATATCCTTATCAAATATCTTTATATAATATCTTTATATAATCTAATATATAATATAATATATAATATAATATATTTACCTAATATCTTCTACAATTAAATATCTTCCTTTATACACATGAATGATTTAGATCTAAAATAATTATAATCAAAATGGAATCATTAATCTCTAACTAAGAGTACCACGAACAGGATAATATGCAACCAACTATGCCTATGCAATAGCAGATTCACATCCTGCCTAAGGCTATAGATACTAAGTAAGAGTAGCACCCACCAAATCATCCTAATGATAAGAAAGACTAGTAAGCTAAAGACCAATCGATAGCAAAATCTATTCCTAAGCAATCACCAATGTAATCTAATCTCTAGATTGAGTTTTATTGGTACGTGGATACATCGTAGGGATAAGACTAACTTCGGAAGAATTCCAAATAAAGAAACTGATCGTGACACAAACCAAAATCAAAGCAAGACTAACATTAAATGCGATCATGAAATAAAAATGGTAAACAAGATCAAATTAAACAACCCACCCGCACCTTTGGTGCCTATAAAGTATTAGAATCAAAGCTATTATATAGATAAGCTCTCGTATTGATGAGCTAAGTAATAATATTTATGACCGAAGTATATACTTATTACCTTGGTATATATTAATAACCTAAATATATAATTACCTTGGTATATATTAATAACCTAAATATATAGTAATTACCAAATATATAGTAATTACCTTAGTATATATTTATAACCTAAATTGATAACCTTTGTTATTATATTTAACCAAAGTTCTTATAAACATATACTATCTTTAATTTGATCCCAATTTAAGATTAACCGCAAATATTAAGATCTACGATATTTAGATCTGCGATATTTAGATTCGAGATATTTAGATTTGAGATATTTAGATTTATCTCAATAGCAGCCATTTATACCACATAGCTTAACTTAATTTACCTAATTTTATTTAATTTGCAGAACTTATCAAATTAGATATTTTACAAATCTATTTAAATAAATATTTAGATAAATATTTTCCAACCTAATTATAAATTCGATCATAAATAAATACTAAGTCTAGAGGGGTGAGGTTAGGTAAGATAGTTGACTGACGAAATATACTTAAAACCATCTATTAGAATGAACTAATTTCATCTTAGAATATACTAAAACCATCTATTTAAACATACTTTACCATTTAATATACTTTGACATCTATGGATATATAGTTAATTTATCTCGATTTATAAATAGAACCACCATAGAATAATAAACTATTTTATAAATATTTATAACTAGAACATTGCTAAATAAGGCCTCCCTATTAATATTGACAATATACTTAAATTCATTAATATCTGGATACCTCCAGTAATTAATACCTTGAGTAAGTAATAAATATCTTAAGTAATGAATATCTTAAGTAATAAATATCTTAAGTAATAAATACCTCATCCTAAAATTAATATCTAGATGCTTAATAAATCGAAAAAATAAATAAAGCATCCTTAATTAATGGTTGTTAATAAATAGGAGAGAATAGAACATCCCTAAATAGATCATTAAATAAAAACAAATAAATATCCTAGAATAAAGAGATTCATTAATAAAGAGATTCACACAAATAGAATATCATCTAATTTATAAATCGAAAAAATTATTTAATTTGATCATTTTATTTTAAAATCACTAAATTAATAGGAATATAAGTTCATTAAATAGAAAGACTATATAATTATGATCATAAAATATAAATACGATATACTTAGAATCATAAAATAGTTTAATTAAATAGTCTAGTCTTAACTTAAATATAGATAGTTAAGTAAAATTAAGTTTGATAAAGTACCTTTAAAGTAATATATAAATACCTTAAATTATAGACATCTATATAAAAACCATTATTTGCACCTACATAGATAGCTTTAAGTCATACGTAAGTAAAACATTTATTCATAAACATTAATTCATAAAACATTTATAAATGATAAATATCTCCCTTAATTCATAAATCATAAATTAAAATTAATTCATAAATCATAAATAAATTTATAGTAAATACCTAAATACCTTTAATTAAATACATTAGGTAAAGAATATCTGACATTTATCGTAAATAAGAATCCTTGATCATAAATATATCCTTAATCATAAGGACCTCTCGTAGATCGTACATAATAATCTCTTATTAATATAATATAATATAATATTATATAGATCGTAAATAAGAACCATTAAAAAGTAGTACATAGAGGAATAATCCCAATCTATGTAACCCATAGTGCAAGACTTAGCTAAACCATCGAAATAGGATAAGCCTAATATACCATAATACCTAGAGTTTTAATATCAGATATCGAAATATATTCGGTCCACCAACTAATAAAGGTAGGAGTATAACTATTAGTAGATTTAGGTATAAATTCATCTAGCCCACTTTGTTTGATAACAGAAAGTTGAGACAATTGATCTAGATCGTACCCCTAAAACATCCATCCCGAAATCTATGTAAACAAGAAACCCTAACCTATCATAATTAGCCACATATATCCTTTATTAAAATTTCTTGTATTATTAGATTGCGTATCATTATAAGAATCTTCTATTACGATCGAACTGTCAGATACTTTATTAGTAGGAATCATCATAATTACAAACTAAAATAGGATCATGATTGCTCCAACATATACTATTATGTAAGTCTAACCCTAAAAGGTGAAATCCTAAATAATGAACATCTATGCACCTGCCTAATATACGATAATAAGCATAACCTAACGATTGATGGGATTGACTGCACTTACTACAAACTATCCTGCACACAACTATACTGCACCTGCCTACTAGGCTACTCCGAATGGAATAGTAAAACTATTTAGCATCTTAATAAAAATTAAATTCAGTCTATTCAATCATTTGAAAATTTAGATCATAATCATGATAATAAGGTACCTAAATATAATAGGAAAATAAAGTATCTAAAGAAGGTTAATAATAAATATCTGGTTAATAATAAATATCTGGTTAGTTATAAATATTTAGTTAAATATAAAGTTATCAATATGAAGATCGTGATCTAGATAAAGATCATAATATCAGGCTCACCATCAAGATCAAGATTATCTATATCAGGATCATTATAAATATTAGGCTAGCAATCATGATTAACTCCCTCCAAAAAAGATCCTAATCTAGTTCCTCCAGAAAGTTCGTAAACATAATTAGGTACCCACCTTTCTCTCTTTTAAAGGATCGTAATTATAATAAGATACCTCTCGAGCTCTATTTATACCAACATATCTACTTCAATTTAGACCTATTTGCTATCTACATCAATTTGTGCCTATTCTCTATCTTTATGGTTAATCTCGATAATATTTATGGTTAAGATGAATCTCAATACACATATAAATATTAATATATGAATCTTTGTAAATAGAGATTACACTCTTATTATAAGCATAATTACAATCTTAGGTAGTTTATCATAAATAAAAATGGTTAATTTATCATTGATAATCAAAATATATGATCAAAATATATGATAAAAGATAAAATTATCGAGAGTAATATATATAAAGATGAGAGTAATATAAAGATAAAATAAAATACATATAAAATACATATAAAGATAAAACCCATATAAAATACATATAAAGATAAAACCCATATAAAGATTAATATCAAAAGATTAAACGATGGTAATATCAATAATCTAATATAGCTTATCGATCAAGATCTATCGATCTAAATCGATCGGTCTAAATCTAAATCCTTTTACTAAATCATAAAACTAAAATCCTCTAACTTGATTTATCATACCAATATATTAATCATACAAAATATATACCGCAAATATATAAATAACACAAATAAATCGCACAAATATTTAATTAATATTGACAAATTTAGATTGACATTTATTACCTATGTTATGTTTTAATAACTCTTATATACATATAGGCCCCTATATCAACCATATTAAGGCCAATATTTAATCATATTTTTATATAGACCCATATTTATAACTCATATATAAACCCATATTTTATAACTATCATATAAACCCATATTTATAACTCATATATAAACCCATATTTTATAACTATCATAGATATACCATATCTTCCAATTATTTATCTTATTTTACCATCTTACAATTTATCATACAATTTAACCACATTTATGTTATACCTTAAGAACGTATTTAATATCAAAAGTATAAAATACACCAAAATAATGAATCTATCATATAACCAAATATTTCAAAATCGTGAATATAATATACACAAAAATTATCAATATTTAAAACTGAATTTATAATAATTTAGAAAAATATTTACAAGATTTGAAAATATCTCATATATATAAAAATGATTGATAATTGATAATAATTAAAAATAGCTAATTTATTAAAAGATTGATAATTTATTAAAAGATAGGTAATTTATTATTATAAAATAAAGATTAAGATAAAATATCTTGTACCCTTGGTGGGATTTGAACCCACACACACGTAATGTGTGATAGATTTAGAGTCTATCGAGTCTACCATATTCCTCCACAAGGGCTAATAATCCTAATCTTTGAGATCTTTGCGGTGGTAGGAATCGAACCTACGTTGATGGTTTTGGAGACCATAGTCTTACCATTGGACCACACCGAACTTTTCCCTTCTATTATGCACAACCTTTGGATGATATAAAACTTTATTTAGCTTTAAATCTAGATTTAAGAGATTCTAACTTCTAGATTTTATTGGTACCTAAATTAATTGGTCTTAATAGGTAAAGATAAATAGGTTTAACTTCTAGATAAGATAGGTATTTACTTATATCTAGATCTAGGCATATATATAGATATAGATATTATTGATTTTTACTTCTAGATTAAATTAGATCTAATTAAACTCAATTAAAATTTAATCTATTTTAATAACTTGATCTAATAACCTAAAGTTTCAATAATTTTACCCAATTACTTACTTACTTAAATCCAAGTTTCAATAATTTATCAAATTACCTAAATTAGCATTTTATAAAATTAACTAAATTAGCATTTATATTATACCTAAACCCTTTAAATGGATATTATCTCTAACCTAGTTATAAAAAATTGGCATTATCTTGACATTTAAATAGGTGCGATCTGCACCTTTTATAGACATAACCTAAACCTTTAAAGAGGTATCATCTGAACCTATTAAATAGGCATCTTTAATCTAGATAGATTTATTTTATTAACTTAACTTACTAAGATTGCCCTTTATTTATTTTACTATCCATTTATTTTACTATCCATTTATTTTACCACCCATTTTCCAGCATTTATGAACCATATTTCCCAGCCTATTTACATATTTTCCTACCAATTTCTTTACATATTTTATTGTATATCTTAACCACATTTATACCATATTTATTTACTTCCTAATATAACCCAGACCTAAACTATTTACTAACTTATATATAATCCAGATCGAGACTATTTACTAACTTATATTGACATTACGGATAAGCGGAATCGAACCACTATCTCTTACTCCCAAAGTAAAAATTTTACCATTAAACTATATCCTAAATCTATAATTAAGTTATACCTTAAGCTCTATTTAAATGTCAAGATAAAATAAAGATCAAGATAAAAATAGATGATCGCACATATTAAGCAATATAAATGATAGTTTCCATCGAGTGATATAAATAAAAATTATGTTTGTATAAAATTAAGATAAAGGTAAATCTCGATTGATTAGCAATATTGATTCACAATATAGATAGATAGATTGATAGATAGCTAATTAGATATAGTCTAGTCTAGTCTAGATAAATAGTATAAATTCAAAGCATGAATAGTATAGATAAGTATAGATAAGTATAGATAAGTAAGTATAAATAAGTAATATTAAAATATTATTTATAGATAAGTGATATAAAAATATTAAGTATTTATAGATGAGTGAAATAAAAATATATAGTATTTAAACTAAACTAAATTAAACCTAATACTTAATAACACCCATTAATACTAAATTAGGCCTCATACTACAAAAATTAAACATTGTACCTTACACTACTTAATTAAACCTAAGACTTCTACTGAATACTTTATATTAACACTTAATATTTATACTACATTTAACTTAATACTAAACCTAATATTTAACCTAATTATCAGAACCTAATTATCTACAATTATCAGAACCTAATACTAAATTAAACCTTATACTCAACCTAATTAAATTTAAAAGTATTTAGCTCAAATACAAAACTCTCTAATTTTAAAATATCCACCGGGAAGGAATCGAACCTTCATCTTAAGAATATGAGCCTCCTATGTTAACCATTGACACCACCGGTTTAGATCCTAAATCTATCATTTTATAATAATACCAAATTAATTTAATACCAAATATAATTATGCACAGATAGTATAAATTATGATCCATTATATATAGTCTAAATTAGAGTATAAATAATAATCAATTGTATAGATAGTCTCAATTATAATCACAATGATACAGAGAGTATCAATTAGAATAACTATTACCAATTATAACAATTACTATAACAATTATTATAACTAATTATAATCACAACTAGAATCAATTTTACCTAGAATCTAATAAATATTCGCACTATATCTTAATAAATATAATTCTAACTCTTATTAAATAGTCACCGGGTAGGAATCGAACCCACTACACAAGAACATGAGCCTTGTATGTTAACCATTACACCACCGGTGTCATAAATAGGATAGAATGAAAAAGGTTTCCCTTTCAAAAGAATTGGTGTTTGAATTTGGGACGGTAGGAATCGAACCTACTTAGCTAAAAGCGACAGTTTTACAGACTGTTGATCCCCCATAGATCATCGCCCCATACCTTCACACCTCTATTTCATATGCTGCATAATTAAGCATAGTACATAGTATATAATTAAGCATAGTACATAGTATATAACTATTGAACACAATACATTTTATTTTTGCCCAAAGTTTTATTATTCTCAAGATATATTTACCTAATCATCTCTATATTTTCCATATCTTTTCTCTATATTAACTAACTAGCTATTTTTACCTAAGATATATTCATATATTAATCTATTAATCTACTATATATTAACCAACTTTCTCTATATTAATAAACGATATTTGCCAAATTTTAAAAGGTTTTCAATTCTAATTAACTAAACCTACGATTTAATATAATTGAACCAAAATAGAATAATGGTGTAAAGCATCTAAATAATTACCAAGCTCAAAGGAAAATTTATATTCTATATCTGAGGATGATGGGATTTGAACCCACACCTTCCACATTGACAATGTGGTGTTGTAACCTATTCAACTACATCCCTTTTAAATGAAATAAATTAAATCATATTTAAATATAGTTCTAACTAAAAGGAGTTTAAAAGATAGTTTTAAGATGATAGATATTTAGACCACCATAAAATATGAAGGTATTTAAGTAAATTAACTCAAATAAATAAAGTTAATTAAAATAAAATTGATTCAAATATATATAGTTAAGTAAAGGGCATAAAGGCCCTTAATATACAACCTTCTATACCCTTAATATACCCTTAATATACAACCTTCTATACCCTTAATATACCCTTAATAAATAACCTTTTATGCACTTAATAAATCTACATTCAATAAGATAATGGGAAATATTGGAAGTATAGGGTAATAAAAAGATTAATCTAAATACTTATGAAAGGCAATTTAAAACATGATATAACATACAACATTTAGTATCACATATAAAATATTGCGTAAAGTTAGTTATATAAAATCCTAAATATTTAATATATAAAATCTTAATCTTAATTTTGGGGCAGTGAGACTCGAACTCACACCTAACAGGTTCAAAACCTGCCGCCTTACCCTTTGGCTATACCCCATAATTTATATAAAGAATAAATTTATAAACGAGCGCACCAATATAAGTATAAATTGTAATAATTTGGCACCTTTATATAAGCCTATTACGATAAACTAGCCTTTATATAAGCAGATATATTGCTATAAACTAGCACATTTATATAAGTATATCACAACTGGTCAAATCACATAGAATGTAGATAGATATTTAGCAGGTGGGATTAGAGCTATATGATTTAGCTTTCGGATTTGAGCCGAATTTAAATGGATTTCGATTATTCAATAGGTCTTATTCATTAGGTATTTTATTCATAAAGATAGTAATTAAATATAGTTCTCATATTTACTTAAAAAATGGTTCTTATCATTAAAGAGATCTTGGTTTTATTTAATAAATGTAGAACCTAATTATTAAAAGTGTTGGATAGTAATTATTAAAGAGTGTTGGGCATAATAATTAAGAAGGTTAGGCCCTAATAATTGAGAAGGTTTTGATTATTATTAAAATTTTTTCCATCCTTATAATCATAACCATCCTTTTATCATTTTATCATCATCCATTTAATCATAAATATACTATCCAGAATTTATTATCCATCTTTAAATTTTGTACCAATTTAATCTAATCTATTAATATTTCCATCTATATTTTGCACCCCTTTAATCATAAATTTCCTAGATCATCATCAAAATTTTATCATTAATCACGACATTTTAGCGGTCTATCAAAATTAATAGAGTCATCAAATATTTTTAAAACAAGGTAAACAGAAAAATAGGTGGTAAAAAGCAATATCTACTTATCGGACTGCTTCCGCAACCCGAACTTTGTTACGACTTACTTTCAATCAATAAATTTCTTTCTGATCAAATCTCAGGAGAAGTTTCTATAAAAGAAACAGATAAAAGATAGAGTCAAATAAAGAAAATTTAAATCTCAAAAGGCGACGGGCGATTTGTACAATTTCTATTTTTTTATTCAGCGCCGTATAATGACCGGCGCTTACTAGCAATTCCAACTTCGGAAGAATGAGTTTCAATTCTTCGTTCGAACTAAGGTAAGTTTTAAAAAATTGATCCTTACCATTGTATCATGTGTGTAGCCCTTTCCACTGGGCCATGCGTACCTGTTGTCAACATAAAAAAGTATGTTTTTGCGAGTTGGGAGCATAGCTCTCGGAATCACTTCACCCGCCGCCAACGGCCATGCAGCACCAAAGGAAAGGTAAGATTTATGGGGTATTATCCAATTAAACCACATGATCCACTGCTGCTCTAGAAACCCGCCAAATCAATTCCATTTCAATCTTGCGATCTTATACTCTGGAGGCGCCATGAATGTTTCACATGGTGAATTTAGGGTCAGGACTACATGAGTATCTAATTCATTTCGCTCCCCTGACTTTAGTAGATCAATGTCAGTATTTCTTTAGAATGAAGCTGTCGCACTTGGGTGTTCTAACCTATCTCTAAACATATAAACGATCCACAGGTTATTCCTCATATTCTTCAAAAACCTCACACATTGTGCAGGTCTCATACTCTAGGCTTATTAGGTTAATTATAAGATACCCTAGTTATACCTACTAAGTAAATTTAACTATCTCTTAAATTAATTTCGCCCATCTAACTACACTTCGTGCCCATTCAAGAATTATAATGCAATCCCACCTGTATTACCGCGGCTGCTGGCACAGGTTTGGCCGGGATTAAGAAGAACCGTACTCATTCTGTTAAACAAAGCTTGAATGCTTTAATCGATTCTACCGAGAATGCTGAGCATTCTCTGAAATTGACTGGGGCCAGCTTTCGCTGCTTACCCAATATTCCTCACTGCTGCTAAGGGGAAATCCTTTATTGAAGATTTCTGTGGCTATCGCTAAGCATCATTGGCAAGGGCTGCTTTTACCAGATTTGAAAACCTAGATTTTCAATTTCCCTTCTACCTAATACTCATAATCTATCATCCTAGATCAAAACATAGTTTTGATGATTAAAGAACGAGGGTAAATAGATCCATTACTCACCTTTATGCCAAAGAGATCTTAGATCTCAATTCGACCAGCATGTGTAAAGTCAATTTCTCGCATTTATAATGAACTATGATCATATACTTCAATTCCTACTTCTTAAGGATAAGACATATCCGCTTTTTATATAGGTTTTCTTAATAACGTATATTTAAATTCTATCCGAATTTATTTGGTGAAGAGTAGTTTAATATCTACTTAATTTAGAGATCTATTTAGAGATCTATGATCTGTAATCTATATAATTCAGAGATCTATTTAACTCAGAGAACTATATTCTACTACTAAGTAGAACTATATTCTACTACTAAGTACCACATAATTGCATATTTGTAATATACTATATTTGACATACTATCACATATTGTCACAGATTGCTATATACTAGGTTTATACTAATATTTAGCCAAATCTAAATCTAATCTTTATAAATTAGATCAATTTATTTATCCGAATTACCAGAATTTCCAGAATTACCTGTACCATCTCTAATAATAGTTATAATATATTGATCTCGATAAGGTTTTATAGTTCCACGATTTTCTCGTTTAATCTAAGTTCCTACGTTAGAATTAATAGCATTCGCTCCTTGGCGAATAGAGGGATATTCAGTAGTAATCCCAGTAAAGAGATCTGTGATTTTGACTTTTAGCGAAGGTTTATTTGTATTACCTTTCATTCGAGCACTGATTTTTTCCTTTTGTTCATCCGAAATTGCTTTACCATAATTAGGATTCTTATCACCCATTTTATCTAGACTAGCCTTTTTACGAGCTTTGTCCGACCAACTAAAGGCTGTTGCAATTGTACTAGAATTGAGCTCAAATACGCCTAGATCCTAATAGTGTTGTTCTAGAGACTATCTTTTATAAAGATCCTCTTCAAAATGGACCACTATGAAATCAAACACTTTCCATCCATATTCTTTTACACTAGAGCTTAGCTTACTATCCATATTATAAAAATTTGTTTGTAGATACTGACTAAATCTTTGATATAGATCGCTACTACTTCCTATATATGCTTGTTTAGTTTCATTATTGTACCAGCAATAAACTCCTCCTTGCCTAGATAGATCCTTCCCCATTTGATTACGATTAGATTCTACCTCTTTATAGCGTTTTTTATATTCTATTTCCTTTTTACCTATTAGAATAAACAAGCATAGGATTACTTCAGAATTATCAATAAACATCAAATCCAAAAGATTAAAAAGCATAAAGAAATATTAGCGCCATCATCTAAGCGAACTACGGCTTTTCTCCCTCTCATTCTAAAATCAATTTTCTTAAGTCACTTTTATATTATATTTGGCTTATCCCCTTATAAGGGAGGTTTTATTTTTATATCTACTTAATCTATTTACGCTCATTTCTATTTTCGACATTAATTAAGTATAAAATAGGGTTATTAATAATTTCAGATAATATAAATATATTATCATCGTAATCACTACTATCCTACTCTAAGTCCCTCTAAATAAGCATAGAATTCTCGATAAATAGAGGAGATTTAAATTAAAATTGATCTTAGGGTTAGAATTTTCCTCATTTTTCAACAAGGGTCAGACTATACCTTCTACTCTAATTTAGAGTGCTGGCGTATTATTGATAGCATTTCAACCATCAGTCTAAAGTATACACTTTAAGTCGTTACAGGGCACAATAGTTTTAACCTATTTATACTCCCACGGTATTACCATAGATTAGATGAGATCCTTAGGTTTCACCGTTAGCCAAATTAGAATTTGACCGATCTTTAGATCTTGAGCCAGATATACAAGGCACCTTACGGTTGCCTCAGGGCTAGTAAATTTTAACCCATAGCTTCGGTCTAAGCAAAACCTAGAATAGCTGTGTTAAATAGTTCTTTACGTAGAGCAGGGTTTCTAGAAGTACCTGTAATAAGAGAACCAAATAGAATACCTATTCCAATAGAAGCTCCACCTAGAGCGATACATGCTAGTCCTGCACCAATCAATTTTGCTGCCATCTACATTTTATTTTATTTTTTTTTCGTTTTACTCTATCTACACTCTTGATAAATAGATAATCCTAGGGTGGTCGTAGGCGTACTGTGTTTGAAATTTGCTTTTATCGAAATGCTATTTAATAATTAAGCTGATATTAATAAATTGAGGGTGATAAATTAATAGATGGTAGATTAATTGATCGAAATAAATTAATAGGTGGTAGATTAATTGATCGAAATAAATTAACAATAAATAATTGATCGAAATAAATGGACCATAAAATAATTGGCATAGGTCTAAATTAACTATGGTGATAGATATTGATCTAAATTTATGATGATAGATATTGATCTAAATTAACTATAATTGATTTAAATTATCTAATATAGTAGATTTTAAGTAATACAATATAGTATATTTTAAGTAATACAATATAGTAGATTTATAGTAATCTAGGGTAATTCTCATACTGGCCTGATCAATAAGGAAATTTTAATATTAGTTTGATTAATGAGCAGAAATATATAGTAATTATCTTTAGTTAGGATAATTTAATTTATCCTTATACTAAATGAAAATAAAAGTCCTAAGTAAACTTAAATGATCGGTTCTAACTATTTCAAAAGTTCTAATTTATACATAACCTGAATTGAGATAGCTTCTAGATAGTTTGTGGATTCAGGATAGTTTATTTGATTAATTCTTCTCCTAATTTAGCAAATGAGATTTATCCAAATATCTCGTAATCCTATTCAGGTTTATATTTGTAAAGGAGATATCCCTACTTATAAATTAACTCAACTAACAAGATTTAGAGATAGAAATTGTGATCCAAAGATCTCATGTAGCAAAGTAGATCGTTTTCTGATTTAAAGTTAGCACCTTATAATTCTAGGGTTTTAGTTATCCTAAATTAGAGATTTATTTATTGTAATCTAATTGGGAGATGAGCTATTTACTAATTTCGATCTAATAACCTAATAAACTTAATATAATATGCCATCATCTGATATTAAAG